GTGTTGGAGAGTTGTATGTTCACTGCAACTGAACACAGCATAAATTCATCGCAATCGGTGATTTCGGTGTATTCTTCATTTCTTTTCTTTTCTTTTCTTTTCCATTGTCACCAATGCCACCTTATCGTCCAACATCTTCATTCTATACGTATAATATCTTCGCAAAAGTGCGATTCGTTTCAATTAATGACTTGCTTGAATAATCAATTGTTATTCTTACTTCAAACTTCCGGCGCTCAGCATGACACCAGAAACGTTGAGGCGCAACTTGATTTTCTTGCAATCGCTATTTTTTGGTTAAATTTAACGAACAAATTGATGAACATTCATCAAATATCAATAAACTGGTATCATCTTGTTTGATAGGTGTGGTGCGTTAAGATGACTTGTGCAACTGATAGCCATCGTCACTGTTGTTGAACTTGTTTTGCCGTTGTTTGCTGCGATTTCTATTCAATAAGATGCAAATTTTAGGTAATTGACCGAAAATTGCAATGTTTTTCATCGCTTTATTAGGAGTATTTTTTGTCTCACAAGTGCTGACAGAGGATGCTCGAACATGGGTTGATGAGACCGGTGTTGAGGTGGAAATTATTCGTAAAATGCCAGGTTCGTTTCTGATTTTGTTTCATGAAATTCAGATTCAATATTTCGTCGGGGCGACCAAATATATTTGAAACGTACTCTTATAAATTGAAACATTTTGCATCAAACAGATTGCAAATACCTTGAGTGCTTCAGTTGTACCCAATGCAGTGATTCATTCTTGCAGAAATAAATTTGTTAAAAGGATCGTAGTTTTTTCTTGTGATTGCAGCAAAGTACTCGCTCAACTTTATACATGTTTGCTCTCGAATTGTCTTCGTTGTTCCGTTCGAAAAATCGATTGAGAAGAAACAATTTCCAATAAAAGTTGCATTGTATTTTCGGGTGACCTTGAAGTTGCTGCTTGCTTGCCACATTCTTTTAATGAATTAATGTTAAATATTGCAGAAAGCAAATGTAAAATAAAAAGTGAAGCTGGTGATACAGTTAAACAGTGGTACAAATTGAGCGATAAAAATGGACGCGTAATTGGTACCAATTTTGGAAAAGAACCGTACGTTAAAAGTGATCATATTCGATTATGACAACATGTTGTGTTGCTGATTTGACGGTTTAAGTTATCGTTTTTAAAACGGATCAACACTGGAGACAGCGGATCATCGAGAGGAATTCAAAGTATAATGATGGACAGAAATTCGGTTGAACTAATGAAATCGGTTTGGTCACTTGATATCGTTGAAATGATAACTGGATCAATTCATGATTGAATTACCACTTGAAGCGTTTCACTGACAGTGGGAATGACCCGAAAACGATATCGAATAATAGAAAAAGCAATTGCATCGCACAAGATAAACGTTTCCAATGTTCAACTAACATGGTCAACTAACATAACATGGCTTGATGAATGACCAAGTCGATAAAACTAGAGATTCATGTATTGATGAAGGTATATGATGTATTTTGGAATGAAGTGATAACCACCGAGTGTACATCAATAAAGAATGACAAACAGTCAAGATTATTTTGATTCAGATATGAATTTGTGTTGGGTCGTGGGCAGGTGATTCGTGGTATGGATGCAGCTATGAAAGATATGTGCATCGGTGAACAACGACGGATTGTGATACCTCCAGAACAAGCGTTCGAGGAGGAGGGCCGAGAAGAGGACGGCATAGAACCCGGCTCAACGCTCTACTACTTCGTGGAATTAGTTGACATATTCAGACCGAATCCCGGTGAGAAATGGCTTGAGGATGACGGTCTTTCGATTGAGGTTCATCAAATCATTTTATTTGTTGATACTTATTCTGTGTGGTTATCTCGCAGATAATATATTCTCAATGACCTGCGAATCGAAACTAAATCAGCTGATAAGAATGTGAATGATATTTTGAGGGACACGTGGCATTTTACGAAATCCCTCGTTATCTCAATGTGCAATTGTTGCTGACCTGATCGTATTGTTCAAAAAAATAAAAATAAAAAACAGTAAAAAAACGTCACCATTCCATCCAATGAACTCAATATAAATTCCATTCCTCTTTCGTTTTTTCTAGAAGTTAACAAATTGCTGAGAGAAGTTTGTTTTCAGGTCATACATAAAATCGAGGAGAGTGAATGCAAAAAAGCGGAACCAGGCGATACGGTGCATCAAGAATATACGTTGTATCTACAAGATGGAACTTATGTTGATTCCAGCGAAGCACGTAAAAAGCCATTCATCTTCAAACTGGGATCTGGACAGGTGAAATTTCAAATGCGATCTTATGGAAATAGTCATCACCACATAACTGATAGGCATGAGCGCTTTTCTACAAATAATTTTGCTTGTAGAAATCATTCAAAAATTTTGAACCGAAATGAGAAGAGGTTCGTTCTTGAGATACAAAAAGCCTACGAGAACTGATCTCTTTCGAGTTGCGTAATTCCTCGCACAAAGTTTATCGTCATCACAGGACCGTGCTGTTTGTTCCCTTTCATCAAAACTGATTTCTGTCAGCAACTGAAATAAAGAAAACTTCTCTTGTTTGAAGGTGATCCCTGGAATTGACAGAGCGATGACGGGAATGTGTGAAGGCGAACACCGAAAAGTTATCATACCACCCGATTTAGGTAGGTTCGGTCAAATGAACGATTTTCATGTCGCATTTTGTTTCTATTGATCAGATAGGATTTACTTTACCACTTCTAATTGTCAACATCAATGAACTGATTGCATGAAACTCTTCAAATTACAATCCAATTGAAATATTTTTGAAATTGCGATGGATAGAAATCATATTTCAACATGCGAACATTAATTTTACTTTATTCCTTGTTAAGCGTACGGTGAAAAGGGACGTCCACCAGTGATACCGCCGGATTCATATTTACGATTCGATATCGAACTGGCTAAGGTGATAAAGGCGAATGAAGGCCAAAATGAAGGCAAAAAGGAGGAACTTTGAGAATGCCATAAGATATAATGTTGTTTTAGATGTGACAAACTGATTGTTAGTAAATATTTTGCTTTGCTGGATGTTTGTTGAATGTGTAACTTTGCATTTGTAAGAAAATTTTATTGCGTTGAAAAGTTTGCAATGAAACTCTGACGATACAAAATAATCATGAAAACAGTTTAAGATTACATAGGATCACAAACGATCGTGCGAAATTCTCGATTACCATCTGTGATCTAGTTTACATATCGATTCAAAGTGATCTGATTCGTCTGC